GAATGGAGCCTCACCACCTTCTTTTCTCCTTCATGTCAGACCAATTCAGGCCCCAACATTCAGGCTGCTTCATCTCATTTAGTCTCCTTTCCCATATTCAGCCCTTTATGATTCATTACCTAAGCTGGTTTAACAGACGGGGCTCAAAGTGCAGCTTATTAAATCCACCACTGAATGCTACGCCACAGCTAAACTATCTCCTCACTTCCCATTTTTGTTCTTTATCAAAGCACTTGTTTCATAAATATCATTTTGGTGCTGCTAGTTCAATCTGAAAAACTCACACTGCAAGAAAAGACAATTAGAAGAAATTTATTGATACAATTACTTTAGTTTTTGACCTTGGCAGGAAACATCATCACTGAATTTGCTTTGATATATGAGTAAAGAACAGAGATGTTTCCCCCCCAGGCCTGAAACTGGTGTTGGAGTGGAGATAGATGAAGTTGGTTAGTCTGTACTAGAGCTTCACTCAGGGACCTGGAAGATGGAAGTCCAGCTTGGATAAACGCAGGTTAAACTTCAGACATGTTCCTATAAGAAGGATTCTGATCCCAGCCTTTCTCCTTTAAAGTCAAATTGGCCCAGAATAGGTGTTGTTTATAGTTCATATTTTTTTAAATTAGCTTGCAGCATCTGCTGAATGATAATAAAGGAATAAAGATGGTGTTCCCGTTCTTTATGCCGGGCGGCATGCAGCAGCAGCTGGTTCTGCTCTGCTACCAGAACATCCTGGACATGGATCCTGGCCTCAGCAGGCCTGCAGTTTGCACATTCTCCCACTGAATGCCTGTTTTCTCCAGGAACTCTACTAACTTCTACTAACAGCCCAAAATATGCACATTTGGTTAAATTGCTCCATCTAAGGTGACCTTTAGTTTGAGTCAGTGTGTTCTCTGTGTCTCTGATGGAAGCATAGCTGGGTTTTCTGCAAAGACAACATTGGAATAACAGATGTTACTCCCCGGGGGGTTGGGGTGGGTGGGTTTGGTTCAATAAGGGAGCTCATAGTCACATTTCTTTGTTTGTACGGCCCTACAGCCTCATTAGGGGCCGATCCATTTAGAGAACAATAGAAGGAAATAGAAAGTGTGCAGGATGGCCTTTCGCTTCAGTCTGGCTGCAGTTTCAGGAGAGGCGCTAATCTTTCAGCAGGGATGTTTGTTTGTGTGCACAGATTAGCATAAACCAATTGGACTGAGACGACTTTACTGAATACCTGCGGAGGTTGAGGAGAGCCCACCTGCCCCCACCCATCCTCCCCACCTTCTACAGAAGCTCCATAGAGAGCGTTCTGACCAGCTGTCTCACTATGTGGTGTGGAGGCTGCAGCGCCTCAGACTGGAAGAAGGTGAGAAGAGTGGAGAGGATCATGGCGGCTCTTCTTCCCTCCATTAAAGACATTTCATCCCAGTGCTGCATGTCTTGAGCCCGTGACATCATCAATGACCCCTCAAACCCCCACCATGGACTGTTCTCCCTGCTGCTCTCTGGGAAGAGGCTTCACAGCATTCAACGAAGGTTCTGCAACAGCTTCTTCCCCATATATATATATATACACTATATTGCCAAAAGTATTTGCTCACCTGCCTTGACTCACATATGAGCTTAAGTGACATCCCGTTCCTAATCCATAGGGTTCAATATGACGTCGGTCCACCCTTTGCAGCTAGAACAGCTTCAACTCTTCTGGGAAGGCTGTCCACAAGGTTTAGGAGTGTGTTTATGGGAATTCTTGACCCTTCTTCCAGAAGCGCATTTGTGAGGTCGCACACTGATGTTGGCCGAGAA